TTTCTTCCTGTTGTTGTTATTTTCTTGGATAATTTTTTTTAAAATATGCCCGTATCTTTTCAGAGATTCGCAGAAATAATAAAGAAAAGAAGGTGCGTCTCCCTTTAAAATTTGCACCGAGACAAACATACACACATGCTCACGTCATCGTGGAAAAGGCAAAAGAAGCCTCCTCATGCTACACAAGGGGAGTTGTTACAAAAGGACCACATGCAGTTGCGTCTTCCGCCAGGGGTTTGACTGCGCCAAGGCGTCACATCAAATGTCACGCTGCGTCGGGGTTCATGCACCCCGTTGCGGCCCGCAAGCCTGCTCGATGGAGTGCCGCAGCTCTTCAAAAGAGGAGGACGAGTCCAATTTAACCAGCGGGATGCCTTCACGGTCGCATATAAACTTCGTGTAATTCCAGCGTATAGGGCCGAGCGAGGCCTGCAGCATCTGAAACAACGGGTGTGCATCCGGCCCCTTCACCTTCACCTTGTCGAACAGCGGAAAATTCACGCCACACGTTTGCGCCCACACGGTGATCTCTTCGTTGCTTTTCGGCTCCTGGTTGGCAAACTGAGCACAGGGAAAAGCCAGGATGGTGACACCGCGCGGTCCGTACGTTTCCTGCACGTGTGTCAACTGCTGCAAGCTCGAGTTGGCAAAGCTGCAAAGGGAGGCGGTGTTGACGACAACAGTTACGCGCCCGGTGTAATTGGAGAGTGCCACGCTTTTGCCACCCATCAGCGCGGAGTACGCGAACACCGTGCTGCTGCCCATTCCACCCCTTGGCACAACCTCCACGCTGACGACTACACAACAAGGGTGAGAAAGAAAAGGTGTCGCAATTCTTTTCTCTCTTCTGTTATTTGCTTGTTTTTCTTGTTTTAGCTTTGTCTCCTTTGATAACCCACACATCGCAGAGGGGGGAAGGAGGGATGTGTCCTCTGCCAAGTTAAGCAACGCCGCCAGCATCACATGTCCCTTTTGCAGCCACGAGAAGAAAAAGTGAGAGAATGCAACATCCAAAACAACACAAAAACACCACAAAAGCCGTACTTCGTCATCCAACAAGCAGAGCCGCTGCTATTAGTGGGAGCCTGCATGTCGTCGCAGATGTATCCACCACGGGCCCTTTCATTTCCGTGTGGCATTCGACACGCCGGCAGCGTGATAGCGATCGACAGCTCTTTTAACAGCCCCTGTGAAGGCTGCAATGCGGATGGGTTGTCCGATGCCCCCCTCGTCTACAATGTGAAAGGGGTTCTTCATCACGTATTCCACGTAAAGGGAGTGCAGCTCGCGAAACAAGGCATTGCACTCACGGGTGCGGCTATCGGAAACGAGCACAAACTTCACCAACGTTGGAGTCTCGTATATGTGAATATTGTGCTCCTCACATTCCACAAGTGTCATTCCCGCACTATCAACGGGATTGGCGTTGGGTGTCAACTCCTGCGACATGCCGTATGTGGAGAAGAGAATGCTGGACATGGTAAGCTGCAGGTCCGGTTTAGCGCCAAGTTCCCCAATGTTCTCCGGGGCCGTGAAACTAGACTTCGCGATGAGCTGCCCGGACTGGTTGATAATCCACAACAGGTGAACCGTCATTGATGAATAACGAGGGTGGAGAGGCGGCGTGGCCCGCCCTCTGACCGCACTTCTTTTCTTTTTCTTATCTCCTCTGCTTGGGGCGTTTCTCTATTTTTGTGTATGTCTATGTGTTTTGTTCACTCTCGTCCTGTCAGACGCCCCAAGACAAGTCCTGCGAGAAAGAGGAACACGACAAAGCGGAAAAAAAATGGAAAGTGAGAATGCAGAAAAAAGTTGGTTTCCGCGAGAGGGCACGCGCCGCAGGGAGGAGGAGGACAACACACAAACAACAGGACAAACAAATAGGTGGAGGGAGAATCGTTACAATTTTATCTCACACAACCGCCATGTTAATCGCTTTTATCCTTTTTTCTTTGCCTTACGCGATGGTAACAACTGTGGGGAAATGGAAGGAAGGAAAAATGGAAGGGGCCTCGCCCTCTTCATCGCCTCTTGCCTTCTTTTTTTTTTTCTACGTCTGTGTGTGGTGCCGTCCATCTTTGCGGCCTTTTCATTTGCTTCTTTGGCCCCGTTTTACTTTGTTTTTCTTTCTTCTTTCTTATGTCTCCTAGTCGGCAAAAAAACCGGGGATGAGGCACCGCCAGTGACGAAAATCTCACAGACGACAGGCGGCGTCCACAGTCAGTCCCATGGAGGGAGACCATCCTCGCTGGCAGCCTCCGACCCGGGCGGCGAGGTGCCGCAAAGCATGCCGTCCAACATGTCCCCCATCACACATTCCAACTCCTTGACTGCCGCATTTGTTGCCCATACGTGCAGGACAATCACATTCTCTCGCGTCGTCGAGTCCTCGTTTTCCTGCCAGGGATCGCCTTCCTCCAGCGCAAAGCAGCAGGAGCGGGCGTCAAGTGTCAGGCTGCCTCTTGCATGGGGACGACTTCTCAGCCATACATCCCCCTTTGCCCATAAAATTGTAGCGTCTCGACAACAGCCCCGCAGTCCGCCTGACTCAAGCAGCGGTGCAAGACGAGCCGCTATAAGAGGCCGACCCACGCGCCGAATGGTGATTTCGTGAAGCGCCTCCTCGGACAAATTCGAAACACTCGCAGCAGAAGTCATCAACGGCGACGGAAAGTTGATGGGTCGACGTGCAGTAAGACCACAGTAAAGCGCTAGATCGCTGTTTAGCCGGTTTGCAAGATGCAGTAATCCCCATGTTGCAGGGGAGAGTCGCTCCATGTCGCTCTCAGCCGTCAAAAGTACGTCCGATAAAATTGCACTATGCACGAACACAGCTGCGGCAGCCTCATCCCGTTGCTGAAGGATCATCTCACTTACGCCTGGAAGTAAAACTGTCATCATTCGCGGTCGTGCGCCTCTCCCTGCCCAGTACGTCAGCTCCTCCTCGGAGAAGGTATTGACGTCAAGATCGCAGGAGAGACACAGAACAAGGTTATCTGCGCCTGCACGCCGGGTAGCAAGTGCGGTCTCTTCAATCTCCTCCCGCGAGGTTGACTCCGTGACGCGCACAACACATTCAGTAATAATTTCTCTTGCAAGTTGCATGATGCTTCCCTCCCTATCCCCCGGGGTACAAACAACCATCAGCTCCAGTCCCGCTAATAAATTGGAAGTTGGCAGTTTAGAGGAATCTGTCGCGTCCACCACGTCGTCACCAAACACGCCAAATCCCTTTAAAGGCACGTACACTCCAGCGTCATACGCTCGACGCAGGCAGCGCTGCAGTTCCTGAAGTGCCTCTCTCTCTTTCTCGGTTCTTAGAATTCGCATTGCCTTGGTGTACCCGAACCAGTCGTAAGGCTCCTCTGGAGACTCATCTTCCTCCACGGCATCCCTGGCAGCACCAGATGGTGCGCTAACAGCCAACGCAATGTGCATCGTCACGCACACGCACACCCCGTCAGTACCGACACGATCGTAGTAACATACGGGCGAGATGCAGCTTGGGATGTAAAAATTATCGGGACTAATATCACAACGTTCGCATAATGCCCGCACTGCACAATCCATGGCTGATTCCTGCGCATCGTCGTGTAAAAGATATGGCAGTCGCATTCCATCAAACTCTCCAGAGAAACCACGCACAAGCACACACTTCCGCCCTCGAACAAGAAGCGCTCCGTATGCATGGGCGATGGTCGAAACGTTGTAGGTTGGAACCTCCGCCATCGAGCAAACCGTCATGGAACGTTTTTCTTGCATCCTCGTGAGGGGTGTCAGCCTCAACGCCTTCAGTGTTGTCCTTCCGATTTCATCACGTTCCAGGCTGGACTCCACACGAACTGCCAATCCCTTCTTTAGCTTCAATCCATTTGCTCCGAGAGCGCTAGACTTCGCGGCCTCATCAAGATCATGCATCCTCACTCGACCCTGTGTAGTGCCCAGAATACATGCCCCAGCGTCCATGATGCGACCCTCCAAAATCACCCGCGTTGGTTGTCTGCAGTGCTGCAGATTTGTGATGCCGAGCACGGTGCTGCTTTCCGCGCAGCAGTCGCATTCTTCTAAGGACGATCCCTCGCTTAGACTACTCTCACCTTCCGCCTCATCCGCCTCCAAGCCGTGATCCCCAGCGTCGTCATCGCATCCTGTGGTGGTCAGTGGGCTGGGCGTAATTCGTTGCTCGGTCTTCTTGCTCTCCCTGCTGAGCACAAAGTCAATGCGAAAGACGTGTGGCGTGCTGAAATGTGTCTCCAAGTTCACCGTCGTGCCATCCGCGACGCTGCCGCTCTCCCTCGCCACAGACTCAAAAAAAGAGGGCTTTACATTTGTTGAAAGAGACCACGATTCAAGCAAAAAGGACACGCCACTGGTCGTGTTCGCAATGGAATCCTGAAGCCATTCCCGCCATTCCCGCGCTTGGGATGCATCCGAGAGCAGCACCACCAGTTGAGGCTTTGGGTACTCCACCCCAGAAGCTCTCTTGCCTGCATCCCTCGCAATCTGTTGAAATGGCCGGATGGACGCGGGACAAAGAAGAATGAGACGACGCACAAGACGATCGGTGTGACCCAGCGTCTTCTCCCCCATAATGACGTACTTGAAGGCAAGAGGAGCGGACACGCCCGCGGCGACCATTGTGGCCTCATGTGCATTAAGTTTGGCCATCACATTCGAGAGACGCTTGATGACGGGGCCAACATTTGGCGTGGCGCGCTCTTCCTTCTCCATCGCTTCAGGCAGCGCCGTGGTGTCAACAACGTACATGGCATGTGTCGTGTTGGGGCGTTGGGAGAACAAAAGGGAGGCAAGCGGGGCCCACTGACTGCAGGGGTGCTGATGCGCCGACCCTTTCCTCGTCTTGAGCACAATGACGGGCCTTTCGGGGGAAAAAACCACCTGATATCTCGGCCTCGTAGTGGCGAATGCGTAGAGGCGCACCGACGCATCCCTCGACGTGCCGACCACGTGGTCGCGGTGCTGCCTCTTGTCTGCGCGACTCATTTCCTCCGCCTTCACCTCCCCCTTTTTTTTTTTTCTTCTGCTTTTTCTTTTCTCCCGCCAACTCCACCACTCGGCCTCCCAAGTCCCCACCACCAAAAAAGGGAAAAAAAAAAAAAAAACAGAAACAAACGCACAAAACCCGCCTTGGGTCGCCCCCTCCTCGCCAAGATGACGCAAGCGAACAGAAGAAACAAAGGCCAGAGGTGAAAGCACACAGTGAACGACACGAAACGGGAAAAATGGCTGTCCTGCGACGACGCGCGAGGAAAGAGCAGGAGTTCATTTTTGCGGACAGTGAAAACAACAACCTCAAGCAATTAGAAAAAAAAATAATAAATAAATAAATAAATAAATAATCACAACAATAATAACGAATTGGGGAGACTCTAAAGAAATATATATATATATATATATATTGTATTTGTTATTATTATTATTATTACATGTATATATATGGGAAATACATGGAAATATATATTTTTTTTTTTGTTCTTTTTGCTTCTCCTTCTCTTGTCGTAAATAAACACTTGCTTGTGAACACACAAGAAAAGGGAACGCACATAAATTACAACAACAACAACAACAACAAGAAAAGAAAAAAAAAAAAAAAAAAAAACCGATGCATCACGAACCACTTTTTATTTTTATTTTTATTTAATTTAATTTGTTTGTTTGTTTTTTACCTCTTTTTCCTTTTCCTCCATTTTCCCTCTCTCTCTCTCTCTCTCTATACATATTTATATATTTATATACAGAAAAGAAGGAGAAAAAAAAAAAAAAAAAAAAAAAGAGAGATTTCCGTCACGCGAAGCACTCAAGACACCCGGCATGCATGCCACCCTGGGGAATCCGCGCATCGCTTCATCCCCCGTCGAATTACAGAAGTGCTCGAGCCCCGCATTGCCCACCCTCCACGTTTCCACAGCAAAACACATAAACAAATCGAAACGAAGAGCGGGCCAATAAAAAAAAAAAGTGAATTCCCAAAAAAAAAAAAAAAAAACATCAGGCTCTTCCAACACTCAAATAAAACAGAAAAAAAAAAAGATTTTCCGTTCCGCTTTTTATGCTTTTTGTTTTCTTTTCCTTTTCGCTCCTCCTGTTGTCGTCGCCGGCCACCATCGACCCTCCCCACCCCTCGTCTTCGCTCCTCCCTTCTCCGCCGCAGCCGCAGCCGCGTGCGGGGGGCCGCCTCCCGCATCCCTCTCCCCCCTCTTGTGGCCTCCACCCCCGCAACGTGACGGGCAGTGGAGGGGGGGTCGGACTGTCGGCATCGACGCGTGTGGCCGCATGTGCCCCCCGCCTCACTCGCAGCAGCGGCGGCGGCGGCGGAGAAAAAAGAAAAAAAGAAATAAAAAAAAAAAAAGGAAGAAAGAAGCAAAAAAAAAAAAAAAAAAAAAATTTCGTTTTGAAAGTACCTCCCGCCCCCGCGCCCCGCTCCAGAGAATGCAGGCCGGTCTCCGCCGCTCACTGAGGAAATCGTGCCGACCCTCGCCTCTTCTCCAGAGAGAAGGGGGAAAAAAAAAGGAAAAAAAGGTCCATTTGCTTCTCCCACACTGCACTTAAAAACACCGCACGGCGTCAATTTTGGCCGCGTTTTTCTCTCACATTCGATCATGTCGCTGCAACCAAATACCCCCGTCTCCGTCCATTGTGCAAAAAAAAAAAAAACATGTGGCTCCACATGTACACGTGCTGGTGCAGGCAAGAACAAAAAAAAAAAAAAAATTTTTTGAATCCGCGTACACACATGAAGAGGATGAATGAGAAAGAGATTTAAAAAGCCGTGCATCCAAACAAAAGGATGTGATAAGAAGAAAAAAGAAAAAAAAAATTTGTCAGCTGCCTCAATCCGTTGGATGTCAGCATTCGTTTAAAACAAGTCATCTGAGGGTTATAATGCACTCCAGTGTTGCCACTCCCTCCATTTCTCTACATCCTCATCTCTGTACCACCTTCTCTCTCTCACGCATATCTCATGCACGCCTGTGCACGCTACCAATAAAACACCAAAATTTACTCACGCATTCAATAAGAGGTGTGCCTTATGGAAGAGATACACCGGGAGAGAGAAAGTGAAAAAAGAAATACGAGCGTCGGCGTATAAGTACACAAATGCATGTGACTTCAAAAAGGAGGGTCACCACAATACCACGCGTTCCCACTTGCCACCCCCACCCACCCGCACTCACTCTGCCCACAGTTAGTAATAATACATACGCATATAAATATATATATATATATATATCCATATGCGGCCAAGAAGAAAATAAACTTCGGAGGCGGAGACAAAAACACGCGAATATATGTAGAAGGCAACAAATGCCCTCTTGAAAACACAAACACACACACGAAAAAAAAAAAAAAAGACACATAAATACACATCACCTGCCCCAAACATACTAACCAGTGGCACACGTGTACCCGTGGGTGTAAGAATTGATAGAGTTGTCATCTTCCAACGGCACCGTACAAGCAATCAACAACAACAAAAATAATAATAATAATAATAATAATAATAATAATAATAACAAATTTTTCAGGTTAAAGAAAAAAAAAAAAAAGGAAAAAAAAAGGAAAAAAAAAAATTCATGGCCAGATATCACGCCCAGGATGGCATTAGTGATTCTGTGGATCGTTTTTTCTATAAAATGTTGTATGGTTTGCCTATCCACTAAAAGCTCCCCCTTTTTTTTTTTTTTTTTCTTCTTTCCTTCTGCCCACTCTCTCTCTCTCTCTCTCTCAGCCATTAATCGTGTCATCAATAGACGCGACGGTGCCAAACACAATACCAATGACCCCTGCAATTAACAACGCGTATGTTGCGATGTAGTCAAATAACCCAACAGATCTCAATGTCCAGTTCCCTGAGTAGAGATAGAACAGTGCGGGGAAGACAAAGGACAGGAAACCACCGCAGATGGCACCCACAAGACCAAAGACGGTATTAATGTTGGGAATAAACAGACCACACAATAAGACAACCGTCGAGAGAGCAATAACGGCAATAAAGTGCTTCCAGTACGGAAGGGTCTCTACCTCCCAGCTGATGCAATGATAAACGGCATTGCGGCTCGCCATCGTTTGTAATGCGTAAGCTGCACACAATTTGACAAGCATACCGGCGTATCCCGCCATCACCATTGGTTCAGTTACAGGATTGTACATGAGTAAGATGGAATTTTTAACCTTCCCTCCAAATTGTACATATCCGAAAAAGACAGTTAATATATACAGTATAAGACAGAGTATCATTGCAATAGTTGAATAAATAGTAAAATTCTTTACTGAACGCTTCTTCATTTCCCAATAAACCTCATAACAATTAATTTGGCACAAAAAAGAGAACATAAACACTCCGAGTCCATGAATAGCTGAATTACCTGTGTTGAAAAGTCTTATTGAGTCTTCACCGTCGCCGTAAAGGTTACCAAGACCATTCCGAGCTGACTGAATAACGAGCATAATCACAAAGTAAATCACAAAGGCAACAGCAAACGTCGAAACATATCGCAGGGAATTCACCTTCTTTGGTAACACCAGCGGAAGCATTAAAACAGCCCAAACCGCAGTCGTCAGCAGACGACGCCCCGCGGTCCTCCTTAAAAACTGTGGCGTTCCAGATGCATTCATGAGAATCGGCTCCAAAATGTCGCCAACGCTTATGACGTACGCAATGGTGGCACCGAATGAATTGATCCACCGAATAAGGGCAACAAAGTAGTCAAAGCGGTCCCCCACCAATTGCTTTGCCATGCTTTCAAAGGTACGAAGGCCTGTCTTCTCCATTGTCTTGCCGAGAATGTGCAGGGAATAAATGGCAAAGCAGGTGATGGTTAGCAAATATATAAAGGCCATCACCAACCCGCTACTATTAGCGGCAGCTGGCAGGCCAAGAATACCCGCCCCAACGCAAACAGAAGCCAAGTTAAAAACGCTTGAAACAAGTCCACCGTATGGCACAACAAAGCCTGTAAAGGCCTTTGCTCGGCTCAAGCAGGTTTCGGGCTTTCTTTCCTGCTGTACCTCCTCCGCACAGAGAAAATAATCATTTCCATCGGAGTTAGATGGGCTGCGCTCCGCTCTCTTCTCCATAGCTTTAAACTCAATCTCCAGTGGGTAGTAGCCCCCCGGAGTTGAGTTGTTAGGCTCCCGATTATCTTCCATTTGTAGTTGAATATTCCGTTGATGGCTAAACCCTGCCCTTATTTTTTTTCGTTATTTGCTTTGTTTTGTTTTTTTTTGTTTTTTTGTTTTTTTTTGCGTGTGTGTTTTTCTCCTTCTGTTTTCTCTTGTTCTCGTTTTAATGTTCCTTCGTTGCCCTCTTTTCTCCCTCTTCTCGGTGTCTATTTCACCTTTTTGCAACCTCCTTTCCTTTTCCCCCCCTCTCCCTTTTTGTTGTTTTTGTGTTTTTCTTCTGGTCTTTCTTTCCTTCTTTTTTTATTATTTGCCACTTTGTTTTCTGTCTGATTCAATTCTTTTTTTTTTTTTTCCTTTTTTTTGTTCTTCTCGGTTCCCCTTTTTTTGTTTGTTTGTTTTGCTTTGCCGCGGCTGTTCGTGTGTGTGCCCTTCCTTTTTGTTTTTAAGGGGACACTCCCGGACTGAGCCCTGATCCTCTCGCTCCTTCGCCTCCTCTATTATCTGCCACCACCACCACCACCCCCTTTTTTTCGCTGTTTCTTCGACGGGGCTTGCGAGCAAACGCTTGGAAGTAATTCACGAGAAGGACTTGAGTTTGGCTCTTGCGTCCTTTTTTCTTCTTCTTTTTTGGTTTGGTTTGATTTGGTTTCTTTCTTTCTTGCGCTTGTGTGTATTTGCTTGCTTGCTTGCTTGTTTGGTTATTCTTCCACTGCGGTTCCCCGTTGCGTTTGCTTGGTTTTGCTTCTTTCTTTTTTGTGCGTGTGGGTTTGAATAGCAGATCTGTGGAGAATCGAGTAGAGGAGGGGGGGAGGGAAAAAAGAGAGAAGAAAAAAAAACAGGAAAAAAAGAGATGTGGGACACGCCGGCAGGAATCAAAAGCACTCTTCTCATCATCTCACACAATACAGCTCTCCGGTGAAGAAGTCATTTTTTTTTTTTTTTACGGTGTCTTTATGTATGTGGTGGTATTTTTCCCTTCTTGTCGTGAATCTTCTTCTTGCCTTTTGTTTTCCCACCGCCGATGCATGCATCGATGCAGTCGGGGAGGCGGGGACACGATTCCATGGCGGTGGGTGGTGGGGTGCTATGAATGCGCTCACTGAGAAGTCAGATCCGGTCTGCTCTCACCGTACATCGCGTGGAAGCGATCCCATCCACCACGCAGGACATACACGGATAGTGTGCACATCCCCTTTTCGTACAACTTCGCGGCAAATCGGTTGGCTGCCTTTGGGCCTCGAACCTGCGAAAGGGCGCAGTGAAAGACCGCAATGCTCCTGCCCTCCCTCTCCAGGGTGTCCGCAAGTTCATTGAGGCGTCCTTCCGACTGCAACCTCGACGGAAAGTGAATGGAGCCCAAAATAAAGCCGTCGCTGCGGTCTTCGTCGCGGCAGTCAATGACGGCAACTTTACTGCGCTGCACCTCGTCATCCAAGAGAGCGACAAGCTCGGATGGGTCCATGTACATGTAGTTGGCGGTCATTGCCTCCGTGGCACTGGGCACACGGTGCGTGAAAGGATGATTCCGCAATAGGGACGTATACACCCTGCAAGGGAAAAAGGCGTGAAGCCGGCCACAGTCCCACGGCCCTCTGCAAGACCATTGATGACGGCGAGAAAAAAGGACATTTAAGCACGCAGAGCCAAAAAAAAAAAAAAAAAAAAAAAAGAGAGAGAAAAAGTCAAAAGCAGAAAAAATGATTTCAGAGCAGGAAGCGCATATGACCCCCAATCACCCACACACTCACATGTGCACGACAACACAAAAGTATAAAATAAGCAAAAAAAAAAAAAGGCGCCAAATTGTTCCTCTTCCCGCATGTTCTTTCATTTGAGTTCTTCTGCTTCCTTCTCGCTGCCGCCGTTTTCCGGATTTTGGTGCTGTTTTCTTTTCACAGATCAAAAATAAATTTGAAAAAAAAAAAGAGAGAGAGAGAGAGAAAAGCACGGCTTTCGCTGCCCAGCACTCGTGGCATCCTCCCCATGCGTGTGGGAAAGAGCAAGGAAGGAAAGAAGAAAAAAGAAAAACGCAACAAGATCAAACAAAAGGCCCGCGAGAAGAAAGACAACAACAAACACAGCAAGCCACCCTTTTCAGTGGTCATAGCAGATTCATCAAGGGCAGCATGAATGTACCCCGGATGGGTGGGAGAAGACTCTGGGCGTTCTCATCCTCCAACCAACGCCGAATTTGCCGCTCCACTGCAACACGCAACCCTGAAAGATTCACCACAAAAACCGCCGCCAGATCGTATAGCATGTCGTACGTACTAAGAATAAGGCGGAATATAGGCTGTTCCTCAAGCACACGAAACCCCATGTAGAGTGTTGCGGCAATCTGAGGGTACAGCATCAAGAGCATTGGACGAACGTGCTGTGCATAGTGCGGCGCAATATACGGCTGCAGAGAGCAAGCCTCTAGGCGTTGCATGCGGTGTTCGCACTCTAGTTGTCGCAGGTGCTGGGTCGCCACATCCACATATCTCTGATGATACGACTCGCGCAGCTTAAAACCCTCCGGGCATGCCGTGTAGGGCACCACGACGTTGTCAAGCAAGCGAGAGCCTTCGGATTCATCGTTACCTTTACGAAAACTCTTTGAGCTTCCCGGCGTATTCATTGCTGTGGAGAACGATGTCTCTTCATTTGCCAGGTCAGCGACAGAAGAAAAGGAAGAGCACTTCTGCTGCTGCCGTATCTTAGAAGATAAAGACGGCATTTTCTTCTCTAGTTCCACCTGCCGCGGTGTGCGTTGCAACTCATCCAGCTCCCACTTCCGCTGTGCCACGCGGTAGTACATATCACGCATGTCCTGCTCCAAAAAGGCAAAATCAACGCACTCATTCCCGTTTCGCACAAATTCCTCAACCGTCATGCGATTGTTCCTCATATTTTCATTGTGAAGGCTTGTGTGCAGGAAGAGAAGCACGCCGGCCATTGCATCGGCGTCCTTGACAGTGATACTGCGCGGGTTTTGTGCCGCGTACGCCTCACCGAAGCGCCTCTGAATGACGGCCCACACTTGGGCCTCAA